CCAAATCGGGATCCGATTAAATGATTTCACATTTTTTCACATCCCGATTTGGTTTTGGGGCGTCCTGTTTTAAGTCCTCAAGATTCGACGGGTTCCACAACATTTCAGCCAATCAACGAAAGAGCTCTGTGGATCTTCCGGTCTTATAACCAAATCTGAATGTGATTTCGAGATCTGATTTCTTCGTTAAGACCGACCGTGACTGCATCAAGAAGTTCATTTGATCTACTCTGAAGTATCTATCTATGTACATGGAAACCGAATAACCGAAAACATATTTTATATTATGCGTGACCTGTAAAGATCCAACGCAAGGGCGAAAGGTTCACCACTCAAAAAACTAAATCAGGGAATAGTACTCGGAGCAATCTAATAGACGATGTTGACTTTTTTTTTTTCTTTCTTTCCATGATCCAGTAGCTTCATGCTTTATAACGTGTGTACGCATACCCATCGGCGCACTCTTCTGAGCAGCTACCTACTATACCGGGACTGGCCGCATTAGCACTTCATTTCAGCTACATATGTATGGGAGCGGCATTATTCACAAACAACGTATTCCTCATTTTGTGTGAGCTTCAAAGATTCATCCTCAAGGAAGGGCGAAAGGTTCACCAACAATCTGGAAAGATTCACTCCGAAATGAATGTTCGGAATGAAGGGCGAACGGTTCACACAATCAATAACTCGAGCGGAACTCCACTTTTTTGAACGTACTACACACATCGCTATGTATGTTGTGATGCCTTCCTGTATTCCTGACTGACTGCTATTACTACCACCGCTGATTGCATCATCGGTGATCGGACAAATGGGGACCAACCTCCTGCCTGCAAAGACACGGCAGTAGATCCTCGGCATTTAACAAATCGTATCACGATCTATTTCTCTAGAACGTAAAGATTCAACGAATTCCAGGACTTAAAGCTCTCTTTAGGAAATCAATACAAACGTGCAGAATTTGCGTGGAACTTAATTAAGGAAAAATAAATACACACACAGAAAGACTACCCATTCAACTTGCTCCATGGGCGGTGTATTTTTTGTTTCTCACAGACTGCTGTTCGCCTGTACGTGAGCTCGTGTGTGTGCTGCAGCGGCGTCTTTCTTGCAAGTCCTCCTGCTGTCGTCCTGCTGCTGATGCGACTGCTGTTCGCGTGTATGTGAGTTCGTGTGTGCTTTAGCGGCGTCTTTGTTGCAGGTCCTGCTGCTGCTTAAATCCGCTGCGTAAGACCACTCGCTCTTGTGTATTCATACGGTGTTGCTGTTCGCGTGTATGTTAGTTTGTGCGTGCCTTAGTGGCATCTTTGCTGCAGGCCCTCCTCCTGCTGCTGCGACGGCTGTTCGCGTGTACGTTAGTTAGTTCGTGTGTGTTTTAGCGGCGTCTTTGATGCAGGTCCTACTGCTGCTGCTGCTGTAATCCGCTGTGTTGATCACTTGCTCTTGTGTATTAATGTAGTACCGTGGTGCTGCCCATGCTCTGTGGGACTTGTGTGCTCTGATTCTTCTGTTTTTTCGAAAGCAATAAATGTTTTTGCATTTCTTGGGAAGTCTTTCTTCCCGTGGAACACGTCCCCGGGGTATAGAGCCAGTTTTTCAACTTTGGGCGTCAAGCACACGCGCCACGGGTGGGTCGCGGTCCTCGGGCGTGCGCGGTAATGTACCGACGACCCTCGTGCGTGCCCATGAGAAAGAACCGTGAGAAAAGATTGACTTACGCCCGCGAAATATGTCCCGAAGCACAAAAACAGGCGAAATGATACATATACATATAGGTTTTAGTGTAGGGGGTTCTCGACCGGGATTAGGAAACAGTGCTCAAGCTCTTACGTTTGATACGACATGAGGTTCTCAACTGCTAAGAAAGTCTTGAGTGCAGGCGCTACCTGTAGAACGGTTGGCGAAGCAGGCACAGCAACAACAGCTGCACTCCTCGTCTCAAGCATCCTCCTCTCCCCGTATGCTGACGAAGGATGGGTGATATTTTGTCCACGGTACACATACTGCTGTACCCCCCCCTGCCGATACGTCAGAAACGTACACCGAAAACGGGGTGTCGGCTGGTGCCAGAATAGGTGGAACGGTCTCACACGCACACAGAGATAAAGGTATCAGCTGATTTTAACCCTCCCGACAAACGGCCACTCTTAAGACGGTGCAAAAAGTTGACGCTGGGAATGCATTGAGAAACGAGCAACACGTAGCTCGAGACGCACGGCTTTGTTGCGAAGGGGTGGGTCATACGAACACTTGAGGCAACGGCAGCAACAACGTTGTGTGTCGAAAAAACGTCATGCCACCATTAACGCCCGGCGATGCGCTAAGGACATGCAGAGATCGAGAGATCTACGGATCGCAACAGCACTAGAGGCGGGGTTGCATGCGCGTGAAGCACAAAACCGAAATCGAGCCTACGAACAGCAGCTATGCACGTACTGCTGTAGCGGCACTGTTGCTACGATTGTCCTCCCGCTTGACGAGAAGAGAGAATGTTGGAGGTCAATGCCTTGTTGCCACATCGCACAGCAGTAAACGCAACTGCGGTCTCACGAGAGTGTAGAACGCGTCCGTAAGCCCACCCTTCACCGATCCATTCTGTGCGGACCCCAGCTATAGACCGATCCCTTTTCTTTCCCAGAACGCCTGCGCAGCTAGCTTCCTTGAACGGAATACGAGAAGAGTAATATCTTACGGCCCCTGCGACGCGGCCGCCGTTTACGGTGTGGCTTCGTGGTAGATGTATGACCGAACCGGACAGTGCTGTTCTCGACCACGGTTGATTTGCGTCGTCTGTCAGCGAAAGAAAAGAGGGGACTCTTACGGTTGTGGGGCGGGAGGAAGCTACCGTTGGGGGGGGCGTCTAGGTTGGTATCGTTTTGAGCGTTTCGGAAAGAGCAGCAGCAGCGGTGTATGCATGTTGAATCGAACGTACAGCTGCGTCCGCGAGTCACATCTCGTCGAGTCAAGGCACATCAGCCACAATGGCCCCTGATTGCGAGCACACGCGCCTTACCACGAGGGCCTCGTTCTCCTTCTATCCCCACCCCCCACCCCCCACCCCCCACCCCGCCCTGATCCGGTGAATACCCAGCCGTGCTCCGTCACGGCCTTGTAGGGATGCTAGGTCAATGGTCTAACGACTCCGGCATGCACGGATATCAGTGCACCCTTCCGTCCTCTCGAGGACGCGTGGTCTAACAACCAAGGCATGCAAAACATGAGTACCCGTCGCCCCCCCCCGTCGCCCCTTCCTCCCAGACAAAGCCCCGACAGCGACTGCTACTCCCTCGGCCACCACCACCACCGCCACCACCACCGCCGGTGCTGCAGGCCGTTACCCCGCCGACCGCTACAACGTGCGGGCCTCCCGTCTCCGCCGCAGCCGCTGAGGGGGACGCTCAGGCCGGGCAGACTCTCCAATCCCTGCTGGCGCCCGCCCACCTGGAGTGGCAGGCCCTGCGAGGGACGGGGTCGGCATCTGATGGGCCCTGGCGGGTGGCGGGTAGCGGGGAGGTGCTTCGACAAGTCGGGCAACAACAAGGCTGCTCGTCGTCGATGTTGCCGGCTGGCGTAGCAACGGGCCAAGGCAGGAGGGGACCGGTTACGGCCATTCGGAAGGGAGGGTTCCGGGGGGAGGGGCAGCGGCCGCACCGTCTTGACCGGCCGCAGGCGAGTTTCTACGGTATTGACGTATGTAGCATGCGGGTCGCTTGCCGTGTCGAAACCTCGTGCTATGAAGCATTTTGCTCAAGTGCGGACAGATGGAGGTACTGGGTAGAGAGATCGGAACGTTTTTTTTTGTGAAGACAACATCATCAACAACAAGATGCATCACGTGCAGTACGGTCAGCGTTCGAAACCTACACTCACTGTTTGGTGGGGGGGTTACCTGTGGTGCTCATGCATTCTTTCCGGAGTACTGTTGAGAGGGCCCTGTCTGTGGACGGGTTTATTTCTCTGTGGGTGCAACCGGGGAAGATGAACATGAAGTCTAGCTCTGGTGAAAGAGGCGTCCAGGGCGGGAATGTCGTAGGAAGACGTTTCACCAGAGAGGCGTTTTGAGCAAGACATGATGGGGGTGTAGCGATGATCCTGGCATACACGCTCGATGAAGAAAATCTTCGATGGGTTTAGCAGGTACTCAGGCGTTCCTCGGTGGTTGGCGCCCTGATGGTGAAGTTTGTGTGGGGGGCAAGAAAAGTGCCTTTGCTTGACAGGACAAGAAGAAATTCTCACAGGCAAGGCTGAACGTTTTCGCTTTTGCGTGACGTATACTCCGCTGAGCACCCTGACGCTTGCTCCCCGTTTTTCGTTCCATTTGGCGTAGGTCAAGCTCTCTCTCTCTCTCTCTCTTTCTCTCTCTCTCTATCTAAGAGCTAAGCCCGGGTCCACGCCCTCTCGTTTCTGCGTTGCGCTTCAATTTCTACGGTTGGTTCTCTTCGTTTTGTGTGATGGCAGCTCCTGGGCGCCCATGGCACGGCGCGGCAAGACCAAAGCCTCGGGGTACCACTGCCACCCCCACCTTTGGACAGAAGCATCCCTTCGGTCGCCATGCCGTTCTTTGCGCCACGGGCGCCGCCGGAGAACGCCTCCACGTCGCCGTTAGCGAGCCCCGCTGAGCCAACGGTAAGGTCTCCGTGTGTTGCGGGTATCATCGCCCCCTCCCGGTGCTCATTTGTACCACTGTACAGCAGTTCCGGCTCCTTTGTTGGGGTGAAGCGGTAATGAAAGAGCCACCGCTTTTCCTCCACCGCCTACGCCCAGCATCTAGACTACCGCCCGTAAAATATGTTAGACCTAAGAGCGCCCCCGCCGCCGCCGCCGCCGCTGTCGCCGCAAAGCATCTTGGGCTTCACAACAGCGCGGCGGTGTCAGCGTCGGCGGCGGCGGCGGCGGCGGCGGCAGCAGTACAGCAGCAGAGTAGTAGTACGTCAAGGGAGGAGGGAGGGATAGTGGCCTTAGAAGACCTCGCAGACGATTCTCAGTACTGGCCGTACTACATGTACGACAACGACGACCACGACGACGCGTCGAAGACGCAGTCAAGGTCACCGCTTCCGCCGCCGGGGCATGCGGCCGGCGGGCCCCTGGCCGTAGACCGAGCTCGTTCGTCGCAGAACGGCACCGGCCGGTCGGGAGCGGCGGCGGCGGCGGCGGCGATAGCGGCGGGGTGCCTGCAAGGGCGCGAGCAGGCCACTCGACGAGGGGGCCGGCCCGTGAGGACTTGCTGCCTGCGGCGGTGCAGCAAGCAGTGGCCGCTCGAGAAGCTCGCGCAGGCCCGAAGCGGGGTCCCCGCCGGCGTTTCTTCCATCCACGGGCCCCCTCCTCCTGATGGCAACGGCGGCGGGGATGACGCAGGCGGCATCATAGTTTGCGCGGCGCGGAGGAAGGCCTACCTCAAGGGCTGCTTCTCGAGAGACGGCAGCCTGTTCTACATCACAGGGGGGCGGAGTTCCCTCCCGGTGTGCCCCCTGTTCTTCAGCGCCGTCACCGGAATCCCGGCGGGTGTGGTAGAGTCGGCCGTACAGGAGTTCCTCCAAGGGACCAAGAGGCGGTGAGTTGGTCGTCCCCCTTGCGGCCCCGTCTTGTGCTCTCAGTTTGTGCCACCCTTTTACTTGTACGACCAGCCCGTGTTTTTTTTTTCCGTTTCATTTGATGTTTTTTTTTGCGGCGTCGTCGTGGGCTCTCATCTCGGCGTGCCACCACCCTTGCTTTGCCGGACGACCCGTGCGTGTTTTTTTTTGAATTTTTCATTTATTGGTTTTTGTCTAGAGGTTGAACGCTTGGCAGGTCCTCTACAGCTAAACTTTTTAGTATGCTGTGCCATGCGAATCGATTTCCGTGGCAGCAGATTAGCCTCTTTTTTTTTACTTTTTTTGGTGCACGTAAGGATGCTCCCCCCGCTAGGAGATCGTCCCCCGACTGCTCGTGAAAAGAGAATGAACATTCATGGGCCACACAGGCTGGGGCGTGTCCACTTCTTTTGGATGATTGCGAAGGTCACGTTGCTCTCGTCCTTCGAAGAAGTTGTTGTTTTTTTCCTGCTATATAGCTGATTAGCATTGTGTGGATGCATGGCTTCAGCAGGCCTTACTCACGGGCACCAAGGGCATCATCGATCGCTAAGATATCCGCTAGGCTTGCGCCGTCACCTTCTCCAGGTTCGAGGTACAGTACTGCTGTTTAACTCTTGGTGGGGGGATAAAGACACGAATTATCTAGTTTTCCCGGGTGGAATTTGGCGAGACCCCTTCAGACCGAAGAGGCGTGAGTGAGGTACCACTCTGCTCGGAGATGTATGTATGGACCATTCGAACCTTTCGGATACAAGCGCGAGCACCACATTGGTCCTTCTACTACACAACAGAGTGGTAGCACATCATTTAGTCTCCGTAGCGTGAGGATTTGGCTTCTGCAGCTTTCCGGTGTGGGGAAGTCCTCCTTAACTCTACCCAGACACCGCGAGGGGTCTGCCGTCTCTGCTTCTTACGCCTCTGAAAGTCTTGAGCCTCGATTGTTGTAACTGTCAAGCCCTCGATGTAGTGGCGCCGTGTGTAGCTCCTCGTGTGGGAGGGGGGCACGGCAGACAACAATATCAAGCTCCGTAGTATACCGCATACCTTGAAACGAAGGCATTTGAAGGGAGTAGGCCGGGTTTCTACGTAACGGCGTGACTCTCTTTTGGGGGTGGCCACGGCGGAAAGCACACATCACAGAAAATAGCAGCGACTCAAGAAAGGCGCCATCGTATCTACTCGCTGTTCCGATTCGATAGCGGCATCACATCCACCCGCTCTTGCGACAGGGAACCAGTGCCGGACGGCTGGTGGTACAGCACGGCAACGGAGCGATGGTACAGCAGGACCACCGCACCACGTACCGGCATCGGGGCCGACTACTCCAACCACCAGTAAGTGTTGTTGTGTGTTATTGTGTTGGTATGGGTAAGGGTTGTCATGTTCTGGCATGGGTAAGGGTTACTGTGTTATTTTAGTATGGGTAAGGGTTGTTGTATTGGTTATCAAGAACCTCATGTGGTACAAACTAGGAAGTATCACACTCAATGCTACGCTAGCATCTCGTTCTGCTGCTGCTGCTGCTGTTGCTTTTGTTGTCGCTGTTGTTGTCGTTGTTGTGGTTTTTTTTTACGCACACATGTATATTCGTCCATACCCCCTTTTTTCTCCCGGTTGATGATGATGACATCGCCCTAATTTTTTCTGTTTTTCTCAACATGTTTTTGGTCAGGTTGCCGTGCGAGGCATCCAAGGTCATCCAAGCGTTCATCACGGACCTGGCGAGCCACTGGCAGCCGCTAGGGGAAAGCAACCGGGTAGAGATGTCATACCCTTCGAGAAAGGTGCGAGGATGTCTTTTGTCCCGGTGGACCGTCATTGCGCAGAAGGATGCTGCACCATTTTTTTTCGCCCGTAGGTTTTTTGACCAATCAAAACTCTGCGACAAACCCTAAATCCTGTTTTATTTTTATTCGACCGAGGTTTTTCACCAATAATTATCTGCGTGTCACAATCCCTCTCTCTCGAAAGCAACCGGGGGCATAGAGATGTCGTACCATTCGACGAAGGTGCGAGGATGCCTCGTTTCCGATTGAACCGTCATCCCTCGGATGGAGGCAGCACAATTTTGTTTTCGACCTCTAAGGTTTTGTTGGCCAAACAGAAATCGACGACGAACCACAAATCCCATTCTTAGTAGTCTTTTTAGAATTTTCTTCTTGCCCGCTGATGCCGATGCCGGGAAGGAAAGCGCTACTTCTTCTTGCCAGCTGTGGGCTGGTCCTCTTTCTGCCGTTTTTTTTTTCACATCTTGCATCACCCCTTGCCGACACTGCTATGCTCTCACGAGCCTACTCCGGAGGAATCACTTGTATGCCGGAACATTTTCCCAGGGTAGTTAGGGTGTCTCGTCCGGTTCAGGCTACAATGTATTTTGGTTTTACTCATCTCGTTTTTCTTCGGGATGGATTTTTTTTATTGCGGAGCCCTGTGGAGTTCCGCACACGGAAAGAATGTCCCCAAATAGTCTTCTTGACGAAACAAGCACTGTTGTGATTATTTTTTTTGTAATTCACTGCGGTGCAGGCCATTTATGACCTCTTCGTGCGTGATTGGGAGAGGCGGCGGCAGGACAGCGTGGCGGAGCAACCCAAGAACTCGAGGCGTTGGACCCCGACCCCCAGCTACGGCATTTTTGTGGCGACGTGGGACAGGTGGTGTGGCCATGTCGGCTTGAAGCAGTCTGGACGGCATCAGCACGAGCAGGAGCAGGAGCAGCAGCAGCAGCAGTACCACCATCGGCACCACCACCAGGAGCAGCAGCATCATCATCATCATCATCAGCAAGATCGCTATCAACAGCAGCAAGATCGTTTTCAACAGCAGCACGATCGTTATCAACAGCAGCACCGGCATCCGCAGCAGCATCCGCAGCAGCAGCATCCGCAGCATCATCCGCAGCAGCACCCGCAGCACGTTCATCAACAGCAGGGGCAACAGCTTTTGTTTCAGCAGTGGAGGCATCACCTGCAGCAACAACATCAGCAGCAACAACAACAACTACAACAATTACACAATATTTTTCAGCAGCAGCAGCAGCAGCAGCAGCAGCAGCAGCAGCCCCGGCTACAAGTGCCTGTCCTCCCACAAGCATCCATGATACCGCCGAAACGTGAGTGCAACTTGGGACCATCTCATGTCTCCAACGTGTCTCTACATCTATGCCGCATACGGCGCTTTCTAGAAGTGAATCCTGCGCGCGTATGTGTGGTATTTTGGAAGTGGGCAAGGCGTCCGTGGTCAATTGGCCTCTTGATCACAGCGCGTGCAAAGCCTCTATGGTAGTATTTTCTCTCAATGTCCAACAACTCTGGGACACAGTTTCCGCGATTTTTTCTAACGAGCTCTAGCGATCCTTAGTCGTGCTCGCCCGCACAAGGCGGTTTGGTGCATCACCTGCAGTGTGCCAAGGTGTTAATAAAAAAAGAACCAAGAGATGTCGGTGCGTGGTTCAAGACGCAACACCGCGCTCGAGTCTCGACAACGGCTCTTTCTTTCGCTGAGCTTGGAGTTGTCTCCTGGGCATGCTTCCGATTCCGCCGCTTCATGCCGCTGTGTGCTAATCGCCTATGGTTTTAGCGTTAATGTCGATTGCGATAGTCGCGGTGGCGGCCGAAAACGAGGCAGCCCCAAAGTAGGCCTTGCGTATCCCGCCAAGCTCGTTTCGTCGGCACAGCCGTGCGTGACCCTTGACGCGACCTCGTTGCCGCGCACGTGGTGTAGTTATAATTGTAGCTTCGGCCTACCTCGGCAACATTTTTTTTTTTTTTTGTCTTCACTTCAAATCAGCCCTCACCTAACCCTCCACCCCGGCAACATTGCTCCAGATGCAACGCAAGCCGAAATACCCCAAGCGTCTTCTCTCCAGTGAGGACATGTGTGGTGTTTGTTTTGAGGAGTTCCCTGGCGTCGTGTTGTTCGCTCGCAGTATGCAACGGTCAGGCCATGAGGAAAACGAGATACGGCAGAGGTCCCTGTTTAGTGGAGGTTGAAGTAGTGCCGGTGCTCCGGTATGGTAGTGCCGGTGAAACCTCTGGGCACGAGTGTCACTCTTAGAAGCTATAACCTACGTATCCCTGTTCTGAACAGTTGTAGTTGTTGTTGTTGTTGTTGTTGTCTTTACATTTTATACCGTTCCGTTCTCTCCACCCAGTACCTTCTTCTGTCCGTACTAGTCCAACACTTGGCGTGGTCGATTCCCGTGGTCACAGGCTAACTTCCCCCCAGAAGGTATTATATGAATCGTGCTGGTGAATTTTCCGGGCACATGGGGCAGCGCGAGACGAAAAAAGGCTGGCAAGTAACTCTACCCGGTTGCGAGAAGAGACTTTGAACTTGAAGATCGGATGTAAATTAGTTGTTTTTTTATTTGGTGGGTTGCAGTACGAGTGCCTACTGACCAATCCCGCCCCCGCCGCCCCCTCCAGTAACGACGGAAGGTCGGGTCTACAAGACTGCTGCTGCTGCTGTCGCTGCTGATACTACTGCTGCTGCTGCTGCTGGTGGTACAGCTGCACCGGCGGCCGCTGCTGTTGTCGGTGGAGCCGCCGCCGAGGTTGAAGCTAGCGAAGCGCCAAAGCCTCTGGCGGTGCCTCTGCTCCCCGCCGAGCTACAGGTGGACCTGGCACCATCTAGGTCGCCATGAAACTCTGTTGCTAGGGTCTGGACCGCGGGTGCGAAGGTGAGAGACTGGCCCAGAACATTTCTGCGGAGCCGCGGCAGAAACGGGCTTGTTGACCCCAAACCAAACAAACGTGTCAATCCGTCTGTATACGGTAGACAAAAATATAATGCCGGCCATGGACGGCGAGCGCGGACATGAGAGCGGCTCAGAGGTTTTCATGATTCTGCGGAACCGTCACAGAAGGGCGTTTGTTGTCCCCAAATAACGCGTTAATTCGTCTGTACGCAACGCAGTAGGCACAAGTATTCTCGTCGGCCATGCCACAGGCCAGTGGTGGTTCTTGAGACCAACTCCCAAAACTTCTTGGCAGCAGCCACCCAATCCCATCGCGACACGCGTAGGCAACATCAGTTCGGCGAAGGGATTTGGCGATGGTTACCGGTGCCCAAAGGGCTCACTCTCGCAAGACGATCTACATAGCTGGCTCAAAATGGAGACGGAGACGCCTTTTTTGTGGATTGGAGAATGTGTGCAACCATCACTTTTTTGCGAAGGGGCAACATTCTTTACTTGCCTGTGCAGCTGTAATGTAGGTTTTGCACATGCCTCGTGCGACGACCTCCCTCACGCGCTGCCACCATGCAGATAGTGCCCGCATTTAAGAACCTCTACTTTGATACCGTCGGCCGAGGCTGGGGTTCTTAGTTCCTCTTGTGGGCTACCAGTGTACCAATGGCCGTTGTATTGGTTTTGGTGGTGTGTAGGGTTGGGCTCCTGGACGGTAGTCAAGTTCTTCTGTTCGATACAATGTTGAGCATGAACTTCTTAGCTGCCAAGTTCTCAACTGCCAAGATCTCAACTGCCAAGATCTCAACTGCCAAGATCTTAACTGCCCAGTTCTTAACTGCCAAGCTCTTACATGCCAAGTTCTTAACTGCCAGGTTCTTAGCTTTCTTAAGTTCTTAACTGCCAGGTTCTCAACTGCCTGCCAAGTTCTTAACTGCCAGGTTCTCAAGTGCCAAGTTCTTAACTGCCAAGATCTCAACTGTATAGTTCGTAGCTGCCAAGTTCTTTAGTGCGGGCGCTGCATCTGGATCTTGACCCTCCATTTGTGTCCCCCTCGACGCTTTCTCGGAATGCCTATTCTCTTGCCTCGTTCTGATTTCATCCAGGATTATGCCTGCACGGCGCCAAGGGGGTTAGTTCTGCTTGGCCGATGAGGTAGATGCAGCCGCCGTGGCAGCGAACGGTTGATTCGACTCAAGCTGTTGTCACGTCACGGGGTATCCGCAGATTCATGACAGAGGGTGACATGTCCGGCCATGTCTCCAGGCGAACACCTTACCGGTACGGGGCATCCGATTAGTTCTTGTAGGGAATTCGTTGTTTTAGGGTCAGCTTATTTTTGTACTTTTTAGTTTTGCACCTGTTGTCGAGGGGATCGATTCGTTCTTACTGAGGATCCTCTCTCGCCACGTCTACTGCTTTAGGTTTCTAGAAAGTGTGCATGATCTCACAGAAAGAATAATGCCCGTTCGAGATATAACCACAGCCGAAAGGGATGTGCTGAAGTCTTTTGAGTGAGTGGAGGGAAACCGGCTGGAAAGGTTTCCGTTGCGCAGTACCCGCTTAAGGTGTACCGTTGCCAGTAAAAGGGTGTGGGTCGTGCGTCTTCGTTTTGCAAAATTTTCCTGGTGGGTGTAATGCCTCACCAATCACCTTTTAATTCCTACGCCGACGTTGTTAACGCTTTGTGTTGTGTGTATTTTTGTGTATATCCTAGACGGAGCACGCTAGAACCTCTGTGCTTCTTTGTTGTGGGCGGTACGGGACCTCGGAGCGTGTACTTCGCCTTTGATAACGGGCTTGCAAGCCCTAGATTTGTTTTTGAGTGCTGCTCCTTTTCATGCACCCGTACCCCGGCCATGGTGGATGCATGCGTGCCTGCATGGAAACCTCATGCCGCTTATCGTACATACTTTTTATTTGTTGATGTAGGACTTGTCTGAATTTTGGTTGACCTTTGTTGGTTGATCATGCCTGTGCGGTGTAGGCGTCCTGTGGTATTGGAGTTTTTGTGTCGTTTAGACCTCTGTTTTATTCTTCGCACGGTGCGGTACAAGGCTGTCACGTAGTTTGGTGTTTCGCCGATCTGTTCGCGGTCTTTTGATGTTGTTGCAGCGATGCCGAGCTCTAGGAAAGCAAATTCGATTTGTCAGAGTTGCATCGAACGCGCTAAGCCGTGAGTGTGTGTGTTCCACTTTGTTTTGAAATACAAGGACCATCCGAATACTATGTAGCATGACTTTCTCGATGGTCCCTATATTTCCGAACAAATGCGGTTCAGGCGGCACGGTGTGGCGAAGGCTGTCTTGCCTGCGGTGTGAGCTATCTACTGATGATGTGCTCTCCTGCAGATTTGTGTACAAGATGGTGGCGAGCGGTGCGGGTCCCTCCGTTTGTAGTCTGTAAAGACAAGAGTAATATCATGTTCCTCGATATGGCCAAAGCCACGCCCCGATGTTGTACTTATTAGCCCGTATGGCCGTGTTTACCCTGTAATAGCTTGGATTCACGGTGCTTACGCACGTCCGTTGTTTCACCTTTGGCTGGATGTTGCGCGTTGTGGTACTACAAGTGTATGCATGTAACAGTCTAGCGACGTGCGGTGCGTGTGTCGTTTGTGTGTCTTCTGCCGTTTATTGTTCGGCGTATTGTCATCAGGTTGTTGATCGCTTGATGCACGCACACGCCAGAGAGGCGGCCGAGGGGGCTACGCATGTGTGTGTCCAAACCCAGGGGTCTGTATTCGCCTCTTGAGGTGCATGTGCGGTCCTGCGTGTTGTGCTGTTGTTGCAGGGTACTGCTGTAGTACTGTAGTTGCCGCTGCTGCTGAACCAACAGACGACGTTCGATCAACCGGCACATTTGACATATATGCGGGTAGGCAAGCGACCCGCATGCCGATGGCAGCGAATACAATTGAGACATCCAGTACCCACCTTTTCGTGCATCGACTGGTGTGTCAAGATGGATATTTTTGCTCTCGGTGTCACCTTCCTCCGGGCGGATTGGATTCATCTATCGAGTGGATACACACGCACTAAATAGTCTCAGGCATCGACACGCACCAGATGCGCGCATCTGGCACAGAGAGGCAACGACCTTGCAACGTGTGTGCACCAGAATTAACTACCACAGGATGATGCACGCACAACGTGGCGAACCGGTAGTAGCCGCCTTGTGTGCGCGGCTGTACCGCAGCCGCCTACATGTAGTGGGGGGTGGGGGGTGGTGGGCATCCTACATTGCAAACTGCCGTTGCTGGGAAGATTCAGATTTCAAGATTTTGAACCATGAAATGTTCCACCATCGCGTACACCACGCCGTGCGTTTGAAACGTGGAGGTCGCGATAGCGCCGCAGATTCGGTCATGCGTGGTGTGCGTTAATTAAAGAGAACGAGAGAGAGAGAGAGAGAGAGAGAGAGAGGCACGGTAGTCTACACTGCTACACCGCAGATCGTGAGTCACATAATAAAGACGAGATGCATCATGCGGCGGGGGGGTTGTGCTCCCCCTCACCATCAGTTTCGTAGTTGCGGAGTCCCTTGTTGGGTCAAATCAGGGACGATGGGTAGGGATGATTTCTTAAAAACGACGCAATTCCATTGGTCCAAAGCAGGTCCTTCCGGACTGATTCTTAAAAACGACTTAAAAACGACAGCTCGTGATTGGCGGGTTAGGGTAGCACGAGGTGGTTGACCCGCGCTTTTTGTGCCGACTGCACTGCTGTACTGCAGCAATGCTACCGCAAGCTCACCTACGCGCCACGCGAACCCACGCGCATACCACCCACCCCCGTGGGAGCAGCACCCACCGCCATGGGCCGCAACGAAGGGTCGAGGCCCGGACCCGGGTCCAAAAGACCCGGCGCGAGGACACAATCAGAAAAGACAGCAGCCTGCAAGAGACATCGCACAGCAGGCGCGAGGCATGCAGTCGTGGCTGTCAGGAGGGTCGACCTCGAAGCGCCCACGAGTAGGTGGTGCTCAGGGTGGGGAGGGAAACAATGTGAGTTCAAATGAAGGTCAGGGCGTCGGGGAGAGCAGCACAGATGCCAGAAACGCTGCTGGTGGATCGCCCAACTGCAGCAGCAGCGGACCGGGTCATGAAGGAGCGCCACGACCCGCAGCACCACCTCAACAACAACCGCGAGGGTCGAGTAAAGGGAAGGGAAAAGCTCGCCATGCTTCTTCGCAAGGGGGAGCAGCAGCCCCACCACCACCGCCGCCGCAACAAGGAGCTGGAGGGGTAGCAACAGCAGCAGAGCTGGCAGCAGCAGCAGACGCAGTCGTGGCGGCGACAGCAGTGGGCGCGAGTGCGTCAACACCAGCAGCACCAGTTACCGGCGTACGTCAAGGCCGTGGAAGCCGCCAACCTGTGCGAGCGGGGTGGGCGCGGGGAGGGGACTGGAGGAGCTGGAGTGCGCGGAGAACAGCAACCGAGAGGAGGAGCGGTTGGAGGTCACGGCGCCGGAGGAGGTGGCGGGGCAGGACCCCCCGAGGTGGAGGGGGGGGCAAGTGGTGCCGATGACAGCGACCGGGTGTCGCCTGCGCAGCTCGCTTTCATCGACCAACTGAAGAAGACGATCGACAAGAACATCGTCCACCATGCCGGCGGTGTGAAAGCACCAAAGGGAGGTCCAGGCGTGTTCCCGTTCGACAGTCTCTTCATCACTCCCAAGTGTGCTGCGATGCAGAAAATCACAGGTATGTACAGACAGTAGGCGTCGTAACAGGGATGGATTATGTTTTTGGTACTGCCATACTGCCACGTACCGGCAGAGCCCACAACATGCCGTCCTCCACAAATATTTGTGTTCTGCCACGCCCTTGTAAAAAAATTATTGAAAATAATCTTGCAGCGTTGTTCCTCAGTGCTAATTCTTACGCTGTTTCAAACGCCGTTTGGTCTGGCTCTCACCATTTTGATAGGTGCAGGACAACCGAAGGTTGATCCGTACTATCTCAAGACCGTGATCGATTGCATGCAAAGAAACCAACAATCATCAACAAATATGAAAACAGCCAGCTTGGGGTTCAGTTTCTCCTCGTTTTTCTTTTCTTCTTGTGTTTGTGGATCACCGTCACCCGCACCAACCCCCCGCCGCGTGCCCATCCGCTGGGCAATAACGTCCTACACGGCAAGGTATCAGCTTGTTGAATAGTTCTCTGCGGCCCCCCCCGCGCGCCTGATGGCTTGAACCCCAAGGGACCGCGCCGGGTGTTCATGGAGCATGACGTGGCGTACATGATCGGCTTCCGGTGAGCAATGCACAGATAGATGCCCCCCCCGTGCGCATCACACGTGCTCCGTTTTCTTGGCATCCATACGTGTGTAGTTGCATGTTTATGATAAACTTGGCAATCAAACTGCCCGAGTTGATCCATCAGTAATTGAATACGCAATGACTGCGTGTGAGACGAAAACATTTCTGGGTGGGGGGATGAGGGCCGAACGAACATACCATTATTTGCAAGGTGCTAACTTTATGGAACCGAAGGACGTGACACGGGAAGGGGGTAAGAGGCAAGGGGGGGAGGGATGGCAGACAAACAACACGCAGGGAACAGACTGATGCCAAGTCAAGCACCGCAAAACAAGTCGTTGGTACGTCTGTGGGTGGTACACCAGTCCTTCAAAGATGGTGCAAAGGATATGACTTCTTGTTATGTCACACTACGTGGTGCATGTGTAGAACGACGTCGTGTCTATTTATCTGCATAAGAGTTTTCTGCCCCAAGGCCTCGTAGCTCAGTTTTGCGTACACCCTCTAGTTGTGGCATGCCCTGCGGGACAAACCGCTATTAACAAGAAGCAGTTCAACAAGAAGTGCCGAGCGCATGTAGCTCAACTCTACGCCGGCCTCATCCTGTAAATATTTGTTGTCGCATTCCCTACAGGACAAACCGCTACAAGCAGATTAAGAACTTCGAGAAGCGCATCCTGGTGGCCACCGACCTCTTCGGCCGCGGCATCGACATCGAGAGCGTGAACATCGTGGTGAACTACGACTTCCCCGACGGCGACGACGGCTCGGACCAGTACCTCCACCGTGTGGGCCGCGCAGGACGGTGAGAATAGAACCGGCTTCTTTTTTGTTTTCAGCAGGGAGTCTGGATCGGACCTTGTCTGTGAGAGTAAGCCGCAATGGACGGCCGGGAGTGGCATATATTAAATAATGAAATCAGTAGCACAGGGCCAGCGTGGTCCTAGTTGTAGTACGCGTTTTTCGAACGGCACCAATGGTGTGTGTAGGTGTGGCATCAGTTTTTCTTCAAGCCGATGTTGACTGCCGCAAGGCCGTGACACATGCGTCTTTTTTTTTTCTCCTCATTTATCGAAGTGTGTATACTGCCAACAGCTTGCAGTACCGATCAGGCCGATGTTTGTCGCTGTATCTTTTGCGCTCAACAATTCGTTGTTCTATCTGTATCACGCAAACACTCGCTCTCTCTGTGTGTCTCCCTCTTTCCGTTCGACAGATTCGGCACCAAGGGCCTGTCTATTTCGTTCGTATCGACGGAGTCTGACGCCAAGAAGCTGGAGGAAGTGCAGTCCCGCTTCGAGGTGGACATCCCCGAGCTGCCGGACACGATCGAGACAAGCACGTACATGCAAGCAGCAACTTAAAATTTTACAACATGATCATAAAATGTTTTTAGAAAAACTGGGTTAAGAACCGCGTGCAGGGAAGGGATGGGCCACAAAGAACGGCGACACATAGAAACGGTGCCGGTTCGGTCGAAACGGCAGATGGTGGGGGTGGGTAGCGGCCTTGTAGTGGTTTTCGATTGCTCTGTTGTCGGAGGGAGTGCTTCTAGACGAATGATGCTGTACCGGTGTAGTGTCTGTGGCCGCAGCAGTATGTACCAGCAACCACCGAGCACGAGCAAAAGCCCATCGCTCAATGAAAAGTCTCTAGTTGAACATGGAGTAAGAACCAGAGAGACCGGGAGAGGGGGGAGAGGGGGGAGATGGGAATGCCTCTTGAACTCCTGAAACGATAGGCGTGGGCTTGTACTGCTGACGAGGACGGGGCGGCCTGGCATTCTTGTGTTGCAGAGGTTTTTCCGTTCTTCTTTGTAGTTGCCAGCTGTTTTTTGTCATGTTTTCCAGAAGGCGACACGGTTGGGTTAGTCTCTCCGAGCAGAAGGCAGACGGTGGTCTCGAAATCTCTGGCCGAGCGTGCAGAAATGACGGGAAGGTCGCTGCTTCTGTATCGTGTTCAAGTATCTCGTCTGGTATCGTGTATTGTAGCAAGTAGTGGCGTGCTCCATCTTTGTCGAGTTGTGGCTGCTGACAACAGCAACGCCAGAGGGATAAAAAAGCAATATTATAGTGTATGCGGAGATCGCCAATCGAAAAGGGCACACAAGGCGGAGGCTTTGCGTCTCTACACGGTTATTATTATGCGTTCTCAGCCGCAGAACTGCTTACGGTGGGGGGGGCGGTTTGTCCCTGTTTAGCGCCATGCCCTGTTTAGTGACCACAAAACCACGTCGCACCGCCGCACCCCCGGTAGTATAACAGCAATATAACTGGTAGTTCGGTTTAGCGAACTGCCTTTTATAGCGGCAACATCTCGTCGTGACACTGCTGTAGGTGGGGGCCGCTACACTTGGCCCCCCACTACTTACTTGCTGCTGCTGTATTTCGTATTTTCAACGTCTCCCAGCGAAATTTTGCTGCATGCTGCAACAACCTGTGGTGCACCCCGACACGACGAAAGCAAGACGGAGGGGGTGGAAAGTCAAAGTGTAACATCTCTTTGCACGCAAAGTAGAGCGCACGAGCGCATGCACGCTGAGTACGGCTGTGGGACTTCGACTTCAAAAATATCTTTGGCGGGGGGTTACATACAAGGGGTCCATTTCCGAACACAACGTCTCACGTCTGTCTCTATTGTTGTGTGAAGTGTGAGCATATACGAGAAAAACGCCCCGACCTCTGCTCAGCACCTTCTAAAATCCATGTACTGCTGACTGGTCCGGTGGTGAGAGGTACCTGTACCACTTGCGGTGGTAGGGTCCGAGTCCCCGCAGATCGGACAATTGTAGAGGGAAGCACACGGGGTAGGGATACCACGCAATGATTCTGCGGCTTTCGCAAAAAAAAATATAATAGCCCAGATTATCCCTACCTATGGTTTCTGAGCCAAATTGTGCCGCGCAGCGCCGCCAGCCGCCAGCTATTTAATAGTGGCGCCCATTTCGTGGGCATGGCGACGCTGCTTGCTCGCTGCTCGGCAGCTCTTTGTTCCAAGGGTGCGCTCTCATCACCGGGGTCGTTGCTCTCCTTCCGTGGGCTCAGCGCGGCAGCTGCTGCCTCGTTCGCGCCGCCCTTGAGGCTCAACAACCTTGCTCCAAACGATGGGGCCAGGAGAGATCGCAAGCGCGTTGGCAGGGGCAACGGCTCGGGCACTGGGAAGACGTGCGGCAAGGGGCACAAGGGCTCCAAGGCGCGCAAGGGGACTAAGAGGATAGGGTTCGAGGGAGGCCAGACTCCTTTCCACCGAAGGATTCCCAAGCGTGGGTTCAAGAATGGGTGAGCAAGCGTCGAACACGCGAGAGAGGCACGTGCTGAGGGGAGGAAAAAGCAGCATGTGTACGCTCACCACACTACTTGTATGCATGTTCTGTACCATGACCGGACTCGCTGTGGCCTCCAGTGGATTATGACATGCATGAGCTCGCATGGCGGCGTTGATGTTTGAACTCGCTGTTGCTTCAATACAAATTGTGCAACAGATTCTTATGCACACGCTCTATTGCCTGTTGCGTTAGTCTACACCGCTGTTGTGCGTACGAAACAGTACCGCGACTCCGACAGTCAGTATGCTGTTTGGTGGCCATCTTCCCAGCGCCGGTGTGTGCCTGGTTCCCCTTCTACTCGCTGTTGCGACTGCGCGTGCAACCTACCCACAAGTGAGCCCTTTCTGCCTCAAAACGCGGAAATTGAGCAATGTTGGCCGTTGTCTCCCAACTTCTTGGCAACGAGCACCTGCAGCTGTACGCACAGCAGCTGTTGTTGATAGAAGCAGAGAGAACACAAGTCTTCGGCGTATCTTGGTGTATCCGACCCACCACCGCGGCCTTATCTTTGACTACTCAAACCGCACCATTCATATATGCACGACGATGGAGCTGCTGTCGCCGTCCTCAGTGTCGAGCGAAAGCAACGCGTCGGTCGCTTCATTTTGGTCGAAATCCATCGTTAGCACTGGCACACACACACACACACACACACGACGGCATTTGTGTGCCACTTGACTGCGAAGCAGGGCACCTCGCCAAGTAGAAGTACGCACTCGATTGGGACCCGACTACTGCTGTTTGGCCGCGAATGTCACCTCGTGCGAGCTTTGGTTGTCCTGCGGAAGGCCCGGTGTCGCTGAATTGGCACACAAGCGAATTGAAATTTGGCAACAAACGCGAGCGAAAAACGCACACACAGACACGAGGAAGCAACATGCAAAAAGGTTAGCCTACGGATGTAGGAACGCGAAATGAGGGTAAACGCGCGTGCCAACATGCCGACGCCCCCAGGCCCCCACCATTACACTCTCCTTGGACACTCCTACGTACATCAGGCTCTTACAAATAACAATTCGGCCATCGGTGATCGGTCCTGTGGCAACAATGCTCCGTCCAGTCGAGGACGCGTGGTCAACGACCTATCCGCTAAGACATGCAAAACATGAGTGAGTGCGCCCCGCTGATGTGCATTCCCCCCCCGCTGCTGTACACTCCTTTTTTTTTCCTTTTTTTTTTTTTTTTGCGTTTCGTATGGGGCCAGGGCCGATGAGTCGTTCGAGACCGTGTCGGTGGACCGCATTTACATGTACATCGCGATGGGGCGCCTTCGACCGAACGACGCCTGCCTGATTTCGATGAAGGACCTCCAGGTGAGGGATGTCGCAACACTTAATTTCTCGCTGCCTTGTCGTGGAGGGAAAAATGCATCGTCCCATGGGACAAACCTCGCCTCCGCGCCCCCCTGTCCCCCAGAGGCGTACATCGATCTTGCCCGCGTATCACCGCCGCATTACCAAGTATGAAGAGCAGGCTGTTATGCTGTAGCACGGTGTCGAGAAGGATTAGTGGAGATGACATGTGAAGGTCAACGTGAATGACTCCTGTTTTTTCATCTTTCGACGGGCCAGCAAGTGCGCGTCTCCGCCCCCCCCCCCCCCCCACCCTTACGTTTA